GTATGGTCTCTTGGTACAGTAGGTAAGACCTGAAAAACTTTTCAGCACAAGTCTGAGAATGGGTGGTAAAGACTGGAAAACCAGTATGGACTCCTTGCAAAGGAGCTAGGCCTGAGACCCTTCAGCACAAGTCTGAGAATGAGTTGTAGCAGGCAGTAAAGGCTGGAAAGCCAGTATGGACTCCTTGCAGAAGAGCTAGGCCTGAGACCCTTCAGCACAAGTCTGAGAATGGGTTGTACCAGGCTTTTAAGGACTGGAAAATCAATATGGACATCTTTCAAAGGAACTAGGCCTGAGACCCTTCAGAACAAGTCTGAGAATGGATCTAGAACAGGCTAGGAGCTGAGGCCCAGTGTGGGACTGCAGAGACTGGTGAGACCAGTATATGAGCTCCTTGTAAAAAAAAACCGTGAAACACAGTATATGATAGATAGGCTCTTAGTAAGCAGCAGAGATGAAAGAATCCAACTCCCCAATGAAAGACAATTCAATTATACTGTTGTCATAAATTGCCAGAGGCAATGACAAGTGGATGTGGCTGGGGAAAAATGCTTGGAGCTTGTCCCCGCTAATTCTGCCCTCCCCAGAAAGGGGGGGGACTCTTCCAGCCACATGATAAGATCAGAAAGCTGAATTTAGTCTTAAAACACTCTTCTGCTTCTGACCAAATAAGTTAAGAAAATGAATTGTGCAATGAGTTTATTCCAAAATGGCGACCGCCAGCCACGTGGCGATTAACCTATGGCCCTAACGCTGGCCCTGAAGTGCAGGCCTCAAAAAAATGGCGGCCACCAGCCACGTGATGACTCACTGGTAGCCATGATCATCTGGACAAGGCTCGGACGATCAGCTGGCGTTCGGGGCTTCCGCGGCAGTCCCCCGATCAGCCACGCCGATTGGAAAACTCCCTGGCTCATCATCAAACCTCGCAAACAAAAGGAGAACAAGCCTCCCGCCGAGTCATTAACAGTCCGGGATGAACCGCCGTCACCCAGGACTTTCGCGGAGATCCACCAACCAGCTGGATTGAACGGAAGTCTCCACAACTCCCCAAAGCTCCGAAAAACACAAGAAGTAAATAAAGAAACTTCGTGCTGAGAAAAACAAGTTCCCCAAAGCCCTGATCACTCAACTGGAGAAAACACAAGCCTCGTTCTGAGGCTGCAACAGTCGGGGAAAGCAAGCAAAACAGAATCAGAGGGGAGGGGAGGATCCAAGGGAAAGGGAAAGGAAAAAATACAATTTTTTTTTAAAAGAGAAATTAAAGGAGAAGGTAAGGATAATCCACAGATGGGAAAAAGGGGAGAAACAAATTTCAATGAAAACTGAGTCTGGAGAGAAGCACCAACGCGTCTTGTCTGGGTAAAGATTAAGTCGGAACTGGGTAAACGTGACCCAGCAAGAGGCGTGGCTATCTCTCAGACTTAGATCTAATTGGGTAGAAGGGACTTCAGGAAGCCCAATCCGTGGATTATCCATCCTCATTCTGGAGAATACTGTTATCTTCCCACCGAAGTGATACCTATTAATCTACTTGCATTTTATGCTTTCAAGGTGCTAGGTGGGCAGGAGCTGGGACAAGTATCGAGAACTTATCCTGTGGCACAGAGCTCAGGTCTCAAACCTGGGCTATCAGCTCTCCACTAAGGTCTTTAACCACTAAGCCATCTATATTCTTCTGTAGAATTGTTACAACTACTTAAAATTATGCATGAAATGAATAATTCCCGCCCACAGAATACACGTGACATATCTATGGATAATGGGAATTGCAGTTTAGTGCAACTAGAAGACACAAATTTCAAGAATACTGTAGTACCCCAATTGTTGGAAGTTTCTTTTAGAATGAAACTTAATAGCTTTCTTTATCATTCTTTCTTCCAATTCTTCTTGTATCCTGTTCCAGTGCATTGGCAAATTTGGGACTGTGTTGATAGTTCAGGTATTTCCAGGGATTGCCGAATGAATTCTTAAAATAGCATTATGGCAGAATAATAATTGTGAGCCACCTCTGTTCCAAGAAAAATATTTTATAAAGATATGGAAAAATCCCATAAGGATTTTACTTTAATATTTCATTGTGATTTAATATTTAAAGGACTTTACAAGCCATTGATAATGTTCTCAAGTTCCACAATAGTGGGTCTTTGAATCCAAGGATACAGCATGTGCAGCTGCTCAGATGCCAACCAAAGGGTTCAATTCTCTATTTATGGAAATACTGATTTCAATTCCATACATGATAAAGGGCAACTTCCTGAATATGGAACACAATCTTATAAATATTCCATGAAATAATGAAAAGTGGCAACTGTGTAGTGAGCTCAGATGACATAAGTAATTAAATAATCCAAGTTCTAAGAAGTCTGTCTGAAATTTCTCATAGACATGAGCAAAGTAGGAATTATTATGATTTTACAATCAGGGACGCAATTGAGCTTAGAAAATCATATGTTCCATTGAAATTAATTATTATTTATCTATTTATTTTATGTTTCATCTTTCTGTCTCTCTAAAAGTGGCTTACAGCAATTAAAAACATAAATTATTGCACATTAATAAAAAGAATATTAAAATCAAAATAACATCAAGAGCAAGAGAAAACATTTGGAAAACCAAGGTATGGACAACAATGGTATGAACAACTGCAACTGTAGGAGCAATATTATGAGACCAATCCTTTGACTTCCTCTCCCAACATAAATAATCGATGAACAGGGCAGATGATTCCTTGCTAAAGCCTAGGGTTTTTTTTTTTTACTACCTTTGCTTTAGCAGCCAATTGCTGGAAATCCTATATTTGAATTTTTTTTCCTTGCAAATTATTTCTGACAATTTCAATTAAAAATGCACCTATGCTACTTTCCTATATAGTGATACAAATCTATAATTTTAACAACTATGGAAGAAGAATGTTGAACTATGTATGCCTTTGATCTGATTTAATGTGATTCTTTCTCTGTTGTATTCTTGAAAACATAATCAGCTTCTTCCTAATATGCATTATTATTTTTGCCTGCTATTATTATAACATTACAGAGAATTCTGGGGTCGGTGAATTGTACTCTAAACATTACAGACCCAGCTGTTTCTGCCATGACACAGAAATATACATCTGTATACATTCTGTATATAGAAATATACAGAAGCTTGAATATTTATATATCCTCATAATTTTTATAAAGTATATTTCCACAAGTATAATAAAATTACAGATCATCTCTCTGTCTTTATAAGTATCCTACAATTTGACACTGAGTTTGTTGACATCCCATGTAACAATCATGATGCTCCATAATGTGCCTTGGATCCACATCTATTGTCCTTCTGTGACAATGGCAAATTCTGAATCTATAACTTTTAATGTATAATTGATAAAAGTAAACTTTAATTTGATGGTGGTTTGTAGCAGATTCCATATAAAAATCATGAAGACTTATTTTGTATTTATTATATGCAATTATATTCTTGCCATTTCTGCTTACCCAGGTCCTTGCAGCAGCCATTTCATGGATGGCCAGCTTCAGAAAGGCTTTATTTGCATATTAGGGTAGAATAACCCATGTTACTTGGATTATGAAGTAACTTTTTTAACACATTAAATGTAATCTTTGTTTTAGAAAACTGTGTTTTGGGAAATAGGGAATGCAGCTTGAATCTCTAGAGAGGGATTTGTCTTAAAAAGACTGAAACTACCTCTTCATAATTACTAATTCAATCCTGGATGCTAAAAGGGATTATTTTTATGGTAGCTGAGTAGTTTTCCCAATTGTTGGTTGAAATTACTTGTTCCTGAAAAAAAGTACTAGGTCAGCCAGTGACAGCAAGCAATGATGACATCACCTATAATCCCCTACATGCAATTAACTGGGAGTAAGCCAACTGTGTAAAATGGCCTTTCAAAAAAGGAAAACAAGTGCTAGATTCTGCAGTTATTTTCATAATCTTTCCATATTTTGTACACACACACACATACACACACATATACACATACATACATATACACATACATATATACATACATACAATGGAAGTGATGATGTGGACATTCTGAAAAATGAGAAAAATCTAGCTCTTCTATAAAAGCTGTACTGGTCTACTAAACAATAATCTGCTTAGAATCTGTCAACTTCTCTCACTCTCTCATCTACCTGATAAAGAAATACATGTCTTTCTGTTCCAATTGTTCTTTCTTTTTCTCAGTTGTTGGTTGAAATTCTGGTTCCTGAAAGAAAGTACTAGTGAAAGCAAGAAAGGTTGAAAGAACAGCACAGTAACACACAATCAGGTCCAGTGGTTAAGGTTGACAATCTTGTTGCCTTGAAGAGAAGTTTGTATAAAAGGAAATGAAATAAATAACATGATGAATGTAAATTTATGCCAAGATTTAGGAGACCATTCACCATCTTACAAAACTAAAGAAAGCCAACTACATCAAGGCTACATGTTATTCTCATAATTGAAACCTATGTTTTGATGGCATTAGAGAAACTATTCATCTTTAATCATAGCATGAAATATATTTAGGTATAAAATAAATCCAATTGTTATAAGATGGGGAAATTGAATTTTTATTAAAAACAAAGGGAAAGGGGGAAAAAAGAGGATGGCAAAAAGAAAACTTGACGTTGATTGTCTAGAAAAGTTTTTTCTAAAGAATATGGAACCCAAGACAGTCTTTTATGAAAATTGTTTCTTGAGTGGTTATCTAAGTAGAATAATGCATTTTAACTATTTTAAGTAAGTGAACAGTGTTTGTTGGTTTTCCTTTCAGCATGGTATGTAGAAAACAAACCAATCTCTCAAGCAACATGACTAAATAATGGAAGCACTCAGTGCATCCCATAAAACAACTGGAATAATATGTAGAAACCAATATATATTACAAAAGCTAGGGTACATACTGATAGTTCTTGTAAAACAATTTTATTTGGCTTTAGAATGAGCATATTACCAAATAAAAATTCCATATTTTGATTTCAGTTGTATTATATTCACAGTATGAAAATATGTTGAATACTTGGCAAGAGTAGAAAGGCAGAGGACTGGATTCTGGAAGGTAAATTGCATAATTTCTAGTAAAAATAAGCATAAATGTTGAAATCCATTGCCGTATATTTATGGATGATATATGACAATTGACCCAATGATCTGTCTGGTTGGAAATTCCTTTGCATTCAGTATGGCATTGAAATAGAAAATGACCCCAGATAAACATATGTGTTAGCAAGGATTGGGGGTATCCAGTCTTTACTCTGCTTTAAAAATATGGAAAAAATGTATTTCAAAAGGAAAACAATTGTTCCGAATAACCAAAGGGAGAAGCAACCTAGAACTAAGGAGAAATTTCCTGACAGTTAGAACAATTAACCAGTGGAACAATCTGCCCTCAGCAGCTGTGAATGCTCTATCACTGGAAGTTTTTAAGAAGTGTCTGGACAGCCATTTGTCTGAAATGGCATGAGGTTTCCTGCCTGAGCAGGAGGTTGGACTAGATGATCTCCAATGTCCCTTCCATCATCATCATCATCATCATCATCATCATCATTATAAATATGGGAAACCTAATTATTTCTCCTTATGCCAATAGTCTCATCTAAACTGAAACATCCTATTTAAACTTTTGTACTCTACTCTGACCATTAAACATAACACTGTAACTTCTATATTAAATTCATTGTATTTTCCAAATATATACAATATAAACATTTCACTTAAAATTTTGGAGAATAGATTTCATTTAATGTGTCTTGGTTCTGATCAAAAACTAGCAGAGTGATGTTATTATATATTAATATTTAGGGAGAATAAACCTTCAAATTTAACAAACTAATGCATGAAAACAATGGGCACTAGATGTCAAATGATCCTTAAATGGTAAATTGGATTTTACTCACAAGTAACTGATCTCACTTATGTGTAGAATGCTGAATGCATTTTGTCCATTGCATCCAAATTCTGCTAAACTGAAGTCTAATTAGTTTAGTTTAATATGTTATTAAAATACATATTGATTTATCATGTAGATTACTTTTTACAAAATACTGATTAATATAGAAACAGAGCACAGCAGGCTTATAAATGAAAACATACAAACTCATAAATTTAGAACAGACTTGCTCATTCCAATGTGTAAATCACATAACCATCCTGAACGTGCATACATATTTTCCGACTTACCACTTCTTCTCAATTAATGCTAATTATTGATGATACTTATTAATAAGCAAACACAATTTTTTTCTCATAATTTAATGATTCCATAAGCCCTTTTTATCCAGGAAAGATCATTCAGGGTTGATTTTTTTTTTTAAGCTAGTGATTGTCAGGTATGGTAACTGAGAGCTGATATAGTGGATGACGGGACACAGGCCTTAAGAGAAATGTAAGGCAGTCAGATTTCCAGCAACAACCATGCAAATCCATCAGAAATCGCTAACAGAAATTTATATGCTGCCCCTCTCACCAAGAGGCAACTCTAGTGGCTTATAATAAAATAAAAGCAACAGAATAAAAAAATAAAAATATTACAATAATAAATATTAGCATTAAAATTAACCTTAAAGATTGACAAAGATTGTGAGCAAGGGAGCAAGGTACACATGGGATGGAGGTAGAATAATCTTTTAATCCATTCTCCACCTCCAGCTGGCACAACTCCATCAGCCCCCAGGACAATGGTCATAGTCAGGTTTTCAGACCCTTTCTTATAGCCAAGAGACTGGGTGTAGATCTCACCTCATGGGACAGAGAACTTGCAGAACTTGCCTGCAGATTCCTTAGAGAAATTTAATGGTGTCCAGAAGAAGAAATAAAATAAAAAACCTGTTACTGGCAATATCTTAAGAAACAATGTGAAAATAAATAGAGATTGAATTTGCAGTTATGAGCTATCTAATTAATGGTAGTGTTTGTTTTCCTGTCCAAAACAATATAGCATGTATTTTCAGCACATTTTAGGTTGGAGTCATGCTAAAAATAATTAGAGCAGCACTTAGATCTAGATGTGTTCAAAAAAGGCTACATAACTGTTTGTCATGGATACTTTAATTTTATACACTGATCAGAAGGTAAGACTTGATACACTTAATCAAGTCTTCTAGCCCTATAATTCTATGGTTTTTAACATAGTGAAAAGAAGAACTTAGCAACTAAACCAAATATAATATGGGCATTACTTATCATTTAAAATGAGATATCCAGTTTTTTCTAATTATTATTTTTCTTGTTTCCCCTGCAGCTGTGCTTGCTATCACCCTTAGTCATATCATCCATCATCCAGCTACTGAAGCCAACTCCCTGCAACAAAGAGACACTTGTAAGTTTATATTGCTGCCATAAATTTTTGGACAATGAAAGTTCTTTGGGGAAAAAAAAGAACTTTCAAACTCCTGGATATACTGCACAATCCAGATCATCAAATAACCCCCATGCTGGGATTTGTGGAATGTTCCATCTTTAGTCAAAACTGGAAACCTAATAAATTAATAATCCTATAGTGCACATTGTAAACATGAAAATCACTGGGTCAATAGAAGACCTCCATCTACTGAAGGAAATGAGAGCTATTTTTCCACTTCAGAATCCTACAAGTAAAGTTTTTCAAGTTTATATGAGGGAAAAGAAAATATTAATTGGAGAAATGTATAACATGTATTAATTTTTGAGTAGCTGTTGTGGCTTGCAATATTTGATAAAATCAAGTTTTGAAAAATAGTTTGTATATTCAGGCTTCTTAAACAACACCTATGTTTACATCTCAGTATATTCAATTCTTCAGTTAGGTTCTGTTGTACTCTTATTTTGAATATTACCATCTGAGTATTCATTACTTTAGACTTATTCAAAAGTACTAACAGCAAGAAGATATTTATTTTAAAGGAAAATCTCTTTAACAGCACTATGAGTACTGTACATCTCAGATGTTAGATAACAATATTTGATACATAGACAAGGATTCATGGATTTAATCATCATTAATTATAATCCAACTGTTTATCTTTGGGGGATGGACTCTGGTTTGGATATAATACAGGTAGTCCTCAATTTACCACCACAACCCAACATTTCCCTTGTTAAATAAGTCAGTTATTAAGTGAGTTTTGCCTATTTTAGGACCTTTGATGTCACAGTTGTTAAGTGAATCACTACAGCTGTTAAGATAGTAGCATGGTTGCTAAGTGCATTGGGCTTCCTCATTGACTTTGCTTGTCAGAAGGTTGTAAAAGGTGATTGCATGATCACGGGACCCTGCAACTGTCATAAATACATGCCAGTTGTCAAGCATCTGAATCTTGATCATATGGCTACAAGGATGCTGTAACGATAGAAAGTGTGAAAAATAGTTATAGAATTCCCAAAAAAGCTCACCAATAGCTGAGATCCATATTAGGAGTTGCTGAACACTTGCCTACTCCTGTCTTTAATATTATTACATAATAAAGGTGACTGCATGGAGTCAAAATGTGGATCTTAATTCATATTTCAATATATGAAATGTTCCATGAACATTAATGCCTGTGAGTATAGATCCAAGTGAAGACAACCTGTTTAACTGATTATGGATCATCAAGTCAGTGTTAATTCTTAGCAACTATACAGATGAAAGGAAAATCATAAACATTGGTTAATACTATTGATTTTGATCTTGCAAGTCACACATGACTTCTAAGAAGCCTTAGGACTTCTTCATGTGAACTCAAAAGTATGTCTCATTGAATTTAGTGGGTATTTCTTTATATAAATGAGCTTAGGATGGCAGTCCTAAGGTTCTTTAAGTTTCATAATACAACCTATGGAAAGTAATAAAAAGCAATAGACAATGTCACTTACATATTTTAGCAGATGTGATTTTATCATATGGTGTATAGTTAGCAATCACAAGAATTATTGATATCTGTATTAGATATCTTTGGGGGAGATCAAAGTCAACAACCAATTTTCTAGGTCAAGACATATACCCACCCTGGAGTAGAATTCTGGCAACCTTTACAAAATATAGTAATAAATTACGAATTCAAGAGAATACTAACTCCATGGATATAACAAAAGTTGGAAGAATAACATTTTCATATATATAAAAAAATCTCCAAAAGAACAAGGTGTTAAACTAATAAATTTTGATTCTTAACACACTATCTTCTCTAGTAATATTATAACAAGCACAAATCATAGAGTGCATCTCCCAATAATGATATACACATTACAGAGATATTTATTGTCCATAATGTCCTGTTTCATTTTCAGTTGATAAGTTCCCTCTGCAATAATTAGTCTGAGAGAGTGACCAACCCAGAACATTCTTCCATATGTATATAACCAAGCTACCATCACTCCTCCCTGTCAATTAGCTCACGTTTGCAACACAATTTTTAATGACTTGCTCAGTCATATGGTAAAGAGTTGCCCACACTCTTCAGGACTGAGAAGATACTATCTTCCCAATTTCTGCTGTCTTGGCCTCCATAGCACCTGGCACATACCACAGAGATGCAGTGAGCAGGTGTTCATTCACCTTTATTGTCACATGTAACTGGGAAGCAAAACTGACATGAAATAACTAGAGAAGTCCTATTTTAGTGAAACATGTTTAAGCACATTTTCTTGGTCATGGATATTAAATGGAGTTAATTTAATTCTCCAGTATTTATTTTACATAAATAGAGTCTAGAGGCATTATGAAGGCTCTTTGGGCCTCTTTGTACATAAATCTAAACTGCTTTGAGTTAATTGGCTGTCAATTAACACAGCTTTGGAGCTCATATATGTTCTCCTGTCATGAGTTAGTAAAGCAAGTCATATGGGCAGTGGAAGCAAATTTATTTATTTGTTAAATTTATTTGTCACCTATCTTGCCAAATGTCATGGGTTGCTCAGAATTTGAACTGGTCTTTCCAGGCATTGTACAATTGCCATTATTTCCACACTATCTCAGGAGGACTGCAATTTATATGCTAGAGCAGGTATATTAGACAGGCATTTATCTTGAAACCAAAACCTGAATTTGACTCCAAATCTAATCTTTGAATCCTGGTAGAGAAATTTTACTTAGGAGTATTTCAAAGAATCAGCCTTATTTACAGCCAACCTATTGCTCAACACCAACATAAATTTACAAAAGCATAAGAAATAGGTGTGGCTACTGGGCAGTACTGATGAGATCAAAGTAGGTCAAGCAATAGGAGGAAAACCAAGATATGACTGAAGGCTTCTGAAAAAGGAAAGAAGTAGAGGAGTTTTAATTTGGTTTATAGATCGTACTGAGTTGAAAAAGAGGAAAGAAAAATTATGTTGTAAAAATATCATTTTTCAGAAGATAATATTTCAAGGAGAAATGTGTTTTAGTTTTAGGAAGATGTATTTTGGTTAGTCGTAGCACTCAAAGAAATACTATAATGAAGCTCCTGGGTAGTTTTTTAAAAAATGGACTCCGTGTTACCAGTTAAAGACGAATTCAGTTTAAATTGGTCATATTTTCAGTGGAATAATTAAAACCTTAATGGTTTACTATTCAAAGATATATTTATAGTAATCCATTAGAACTGTGCACAGTAGAAAATATTAGGAGTAAATAGTTTCATCCTTCTTCTTATTGCAAGGCTGCCTATTCCAAACCAAAAATTAGGAAAGCTCTGTTTAAAAATATTTTTATGAGGAAAGGATTAAATTACGGTAATTCATAGACTTTGGGAGAGAAGTTCTCACCGACAAAAACTGTTCCCATTTTCTTAAGCCAATGTTTTCTTCATTGATATCATTAATATTTAAATTGTGTCTTAAAGAGTTAATGGATACTTTAATGACTACAGCTAGCAAAAAGGCTACATAAGACAAAAGATATTGAGGATGTTTCCAGGCTATATTAAACATTTCAGTTCTATGCATATTTATTTGGAGTAAGCTCTATTATATTTATGCATTCTATTTCCCCCAGATTAAGACTGAACCTTTAAAACTGTTTTATTTCAAGGGAAAGGGTTATGTATTCAATTAATTTTTCTGCTGAAATCAATGGGACTTAAAAGTCCTTAATTTTGAATGAGTTGTGTTCTTATTTTAAATCTATTACTAAAAGTATAATATGTAATTATCCTATGGATATGCTTGGCTTTATTGTTGACCTAATGCTGTCCATTTCTGGAAAATTATAGTGCATTCCATAATAAAACATTATAGATTGCTTTATTACCTTTGGGAATTCAGCTGTGCTAGTAAATTATAGCTTAAGAATGCTTGCCATTTAATTTAAAAAGAAGTTAGTCATGCAACAGAAATCTTTGTTAAATGTATTACATTAGTTAAATAATATTTTTCCCATCATGGTGATTGAAAATAGACCTGTGTGTTCCTGATTCAGTTCTATTTAAAATATTGGAAATTGTACTTTTAGTAACAATCAAGTTCTGTTGTCTGGTCCAATAAACTATTCTATAAAACCATTATTTGGAGCCAGAGTTAAATTTCTTACATATTATGATTTAATATGACTTAAAATAATAGATACAATCATTTAAAATGAAATTATTAATTGGCACAATCTTGAAATCTTGAAAAAAGATTAGTTATAAAAATTTGACATTCAACAATTAAATAAATAGATCCTCCAAGCTAAATGGAACTTTTGACATTAAATATATACCTTATGGCAAGTAATACACGTTGGGACATCTGTTGTCCTTGAGAACAAGCTACAATTAACTCATAAGATGATAAGATTAAATAAAGGCGTCCAGGACTGGTAACAACTACTTCTAAAGTTGTAAGATTCTTATACTGAATCTACAGAGGTCTATCAAATTTCCAATGTGTTTAAGTTTCTAGGAAAAAATTCACTGCCAATCAGCTGTCTATTAACTGCTTTCTGAGACTGAGGTAGCTATGTTTTAAATGATGACATACCACTTAAGTTTCCATAACAAGATCATTCTATACAGAGTTTGCAAAATAATGATTCTATCAAATATTTTGCTTATTGCTATATGGAGCCACGAAACAGCATGGCTGCAAGGGAAAGATAAGCTATTGCAGTACATTTTCAATGCTCAAACTACCTGCTTTCAATAAATTGGTAGTTCAATTACTGTTTTGTTAGTTTATTTTTGCTCTAAGTTATCATCTGGTGCAAGTATTTCACAAAATTAATCTCTGATGTATTCTACTGAAGTTTTTATTGTTTTGGGGGGTCATTATTATTGTTTGGTCATTCATTCATTCATTCCTTTCAAGTCAGTATTGACACCTGCAAACTGCCTGGACAAATCCCTGCAATATACTTAGCAAGATTTTGGAAGCAGTTTGTCCTCACCTGCATCCTGGAACTGAGAGAGATGACTGATCCAAAGTCATCCTTTTGGCTTTGTACTTCAGACAAGATTAGAACTCACAGTCTCCTGGTTTCTAACCTGATGCATTAAAATACAATGCCAAACTGGCAACCTGATCTAAACTGGAAGCAATGATTACCTGGTTCTTTATGTTCTGCAGAAGTTTAAACATGGTCTCTCTGTTTTGATACGATGCCTTAACATTTATCATTGAAACATACAAGTGATCAAGCTAACTTTTTATCATTGAAACATACAAGTGATAATATAAACTATATTAGAATTAACTTTAGAAAATTTAATAATACGTTATAAATTATTTCAGAAATAACTCAAAAAGAAAAGTGTAAAAAGGAAATACTGAATTGGCTCTGTTTCATAAAATTCTCAGGGAGACTATTAGAGGAATAAATGACAAAATACACAAATGCTGGGACTTACATATTTGCATCAGGCACTAGGAGACAAATTCATAATCACAGCTTATATAGTGGCATGTGTGTTGTCACTTTGATATCATCTGGTGCAAGTATTTCTGCTCTGTGTGCCTTATGTTAGAAATATTGTCAAATGATAATATGAAATTTTCAAAACTTTTGCTACATTTTCTAACAAAATCTGGCAAACTCACTGGTAAATCAAAACTGTTTCTTCAAAACTAATCCAAGCAATGACTTCTATTTGGACAGTGATAGGTTTAGTTGCTAGGGATATGGAGAAGAAAGCAAAATAACAGAGGCATTGTTCACAGTTGTATTTCTTGAAGCCCAAATGGATAAAAGTCATCCTATCACTGAGAAGCTTATAAATCTAAATGCCATGCTGATGGGAAGTATAATGCTTAGAAAGAAGGCAGGACAAGCTACTGACACTGCCTTGGTGAATCATGATATGCAACATCATAAAAAATCTATGATGATGTGGAGGAGCAATTACTAGCATATGTGCATGTTAATAAATGTTAGCAGTACAACTGGACAGAACTGTGATCTCCAAAGCATGGATAATTGTCTAATTTTTGATCCCTTCATTTTCCAAACATTTAATTAGTGGTCTATGATTACAAAAAGTTTAAGAAGCACAGATCTCTAAGAATACGCTTAAGAGAAAAAAATGTATATAATTTTTATCAGGTTTTATTCTTCCACAAACATTAGGTCCTTATTTTACTATGAAAGTCTTGAGGATTGCATCAGCATGATTTAATTGTTCTTCTCAAGGATAGATTCAGGGTCATTTCATTGATTTGTAAAGCTTTTAATTATAGTTTCTCATACTATTGCATAGTGCCATCTAATTGGTATATACAGTCTCTCTTTCCTTAATTTTCAGATAAGATATTTATTGGTGTCTAAACCCCCACATATAGGGTTTAACATGATTATCATATAACCTTTTTGGGGGGGGGGAAATTCTTCTAGTTGTACATAGTGTACGTTCTATGAGTATCTTCAGTTACATTGATCACAAGGAGGCACCACATAACTGGTGTCAGCTTTATTGCACAGATACTTACATCTAAAGAGTCCTAATAATATTGTTTATGCTTGTGTGTATATATTTTAGCATGTATTCCATTGTTTCAATAATTATTTCATTATCTTTCTCTGCTTAATTTAAAATAAGCTATAAATAGAGTATATTTAGAAAGATGTGTGTTAACATCATTGTTGTTTTATTTTCCTCTTCTGGACTTATATTTCATTTAATCAATTGATCAATCAATAACACATATCTAGAAAACTTTAAAATGTAGTTTTAATGCCAATGCATTTGTGTAAAATTGGGCAAAGTGCTCTTGTGAGTGAACATATGCATAATTGAAGAGAAACTACTTAATCTGCCCCTCATTTGCTCTGCTATTAATTTAAAACATTTTATTTTTTGTTAAAATACCCCAAATACTCATATGCTCCTAGGTAGCTTTGACAAACATCCTTCTAAAGCAGGCACTTGGAAAGAGTCGGAAAATATTCAGATATGAAGGCCTTTGAAGTATCATATTGGCCAAATGTAAGAAAACTGACAGAGATCTCACTGAAAGATTTGCAAGACCGTGCTACATGTTCACATATGGCCATTCTGGTATTATACACACATGAGCTTGATCATATTCTGGCAACTTTCCAGCAGTGAAATATCATATCCGAAAGATAATTTACTATCTTCCTTTTGAATGTTTTGTATTTTTGGCAAAGATGATTACAGTACCATCAGCTTCAAAAAAGAAAGAGAGCGCCCTCTAGCCTCAATCCTTCAGAAGAGCCTTGATCTCAGCATTGGAGTGTTTTCACCCTTTTAAATTAGGAGTTTTATTTCCTTGGCAGTAGCTTTATAATAAAAAAATTAATCATGAACCCACTGCATACTTATAGTTATTTGGCTTATCTCTGCTACTCAAATAAAAGAAGCATTGTACAGAATACAAAATATGTTATAATCAGTTTTTGCAACAGTTTATGATATGACTTTAGAACACTGTTTTGCAAACTTGGCAATTTTCAGATGTATGTGGACTCAAACTTCCAGAACTCCAAGTTCACAAGAGGAAGAGTTTGCCTCATACTGGATAATTGTGAAATCCTTCAGTTCTGATTACAGATCTGCAGATTACAAAATACAGTTTGTAAATTACTCTTCTACCTCAACAGGAAATATAGGAAACTTATAATAACAAACCTAGATTCAACTTGTAGCTTATGGATGTGTTATGAGGGAGGACAAGAGGGAGTAAGTGATTAACTCTCCATTGTGATGTGAACTCTGCCTCGGATATACTGGGATGTGACACTACAATGGAACATTATTCTGGTATTAGTTGTAGTTATGCCTGTGAATGAGGTATGCCTATACAACCTTAATTCTTACACATCCAAAGCTGCCTTTCACCTAAAATTCAGCCTGAAGTAAAACAGTACATGAAAAAAATACACCTTCAGGTCATATGAAAAAGTTATCCCAAGTATTATAAGTCACTTTGAATTTCTATTGCTCTTCATAGAGTAATATCTTCCTTTGCCTGGTGAAGTGTCAAGAGTAAACTCTTACTTCATTATGGAATCAAAACAACTAATTCTTTCAAACTGCTATGATAAAATACATATGGCTAATAGTTCAAATTCTTGATACATTTTAATTAGTTCTGTTTCCTTTTGTTTTAATAGCAACTGACTCTGCTTTAGTTGGCTTAAAACCTTAAGAAATGTGTTCACTAATGATTAATTCAAGTATTTTTCCTAGCCTATATGTGATCTCTGGATTACTGAGCATACATCTTTACCTGATTTTAAGTGATGGTGTTTAAAATGGCCGTATCCTTTTCTAAAGAATCAATAACCCAAATGTTCCTTTGAGCACTTAGCGCAGCAATGGCTATCTCTGACACTTGTTGCAAAAAAATTATCTAATTGGTACTTTTGAAATTAAAGCAACAATTAACACCCAGAGCAAAATTATGAATAGTCTTGAAGTGAAATGTTGAAATGAAAAATCTTAATATATTATAAATGTTGGTTATATATATTTCAAAGTGCTGTTAAAATCCACTTTCCGTTCTCTAAAATAATTTATCTAAATATTTTCTGAAATCAGCCTTTTAGCATCTGATATAACTAATGGATCTAATAATCAGAATGGTATATCTTTTTTGACAGCCAAAGAGAAAAATAACACAAGGAAAATTACATTCTAAAATTTAAAAATGATACGCCAATAGGGAGGTAGCTATGGCAGGCCAAAGTCTCTCCCAAGGTAGAAACAATTTTAACTATGCACCTTACAACAATCCAGCAGTTATAGATCAATTTTTATCATAAGAGATTCACAGGAAATTGGGATGGGATGAGAGTTATATTTTTAATATGGATTGAATAATGATTAAATTTATCTTCCTCCCAGGCATTGAGCTTTCTAAAACTAATGAGTGTTGAGGGACATAGATGAGTAAGATATCTGCCACATAGAAATTTGACTGGAAAGTTATAAAAAAAGAATAATACCAATATGTATTGTAGTTGGACAGCTGTACTAGTCTATGATGGTAAAAAAGTCAGCTTACGAAATCTTATTCCAGAAAAGGTGCTACATATTCCAGCATATTTTGTATGTATAACCAGTGCTTTTTTTGTTAAAAAAAAAAAAAAGGTGCCGGAACTCACACATGTCATACAATCCGTCTTGCCTACTCTACAAAGTTCCATCCAAAAAAGGTGCCGGAACTCCGTTCTGGGCGTTCTATGACAAAAAAAAACCCTGTGTATAACCAAATGGGAAATCTTAACAATTTTTCAGAGAACTGTTACATCACCTCAATTCTTCTTGGCAGCTTAGGTTTGTTTTCTTATTGATTCAGGAGTAGCACCATTTTTAGTAGACTGAGCTTTAGTTGATCATTCATATCCTAGCAACAGTTAAGGTTTCTATGAAATAATACTCTCAGATACCTATAATTTCAATCAATTATAATGAGAAAGGCATATACATTTTATTGCAAATCAATCAATGTTTAATTTGATGGCTTACAATTTATTTTTGTGGTGATCTTAAGATATTTATGGATGATGGGAAATGGTCAGAATTTCACACTGCAACATAAAATGTGCAAATTTTCGTGTTAAGTGTTTGTGTTTGGTTCAAACTGTACCTGCAGAAATGTGCTACTGGAATGATCGTAGAATTCAGTGATACTATTTCTAACTTGATGAGGCACTTCCTGTTCAACTTATGGGTTTATGGTTATCATCATTGGGGAAATCTGACATCTGGAAGTACAATTACAGTGCAGCTTTCATGGAACCGAAACTAGAATTCGTTATAGCTTCCAGAGATCTCTAGGAGTTTTCTAATCCAAAGTTATAGTCAAATTCTCTGGTGCAGTTCAGAGATAAATGTTAATTTATCACACAGCGTTCATACGTTTGCCCTACTCAGCTACTGTGTAGTCATACTAAGACCAGAAACCCAAACATTTTTGAAATGTTGGCTGGTTGATGAAGACAATTTTGCAGATGACCTGATCACTCCTGGTAGAAAAGCAAAAGAATCATTTATTTAGCTACCAAAAAAATCTTACTTCAGGAAGTGGCATGTATGTTTCTGAGTCATCAAAATTACAATGATTTCAGCATTATGGAACACTAATCTGATAATAAGCACTCTAGACAAACTGGCCTTTGCTATAAAAAGAAAAGAAAAAGTACCAATTGCCTGCCTGGTCTTAAACCTTTGCACTTGTTCATCACCTGGGGAAGAGACGATGTAAGGTATAACTTCTTGTTACAAAGGTAGAGTGACAAGATGGTGGTTGATCTCCCTTTCTTTCAGGTTACAGCCTTAACCAAGGAGTCAAACTGATAGTGGAAATGGCTGCTCCAAGTTAAAATGCCTGCTGTTTAGCACCAGCGACTAGCCCAAAGTCACCCAATTGGCTTTTATGTCTAAGGCAGCACTAGAACTCACAGTCTCCTGGTTTCTAGATCAGCACCTTATCTATTACACCTGCTGGAGAATTCTGGGAGTCAAAATCCACACATCTTAAAATGGACACGGTTGAGAAACACTGCTGTGGAGAGATGCAGTTCTACAGGACAGGCACCGCAATTGAGAAGGTACAACTTCACAAATGTAGGGTCCAAGAAGATAGCATTGTTTGACAGACTTGCCCTGAAGTATTTCCTTTTTGTTAGATATGATAGGGGAATTTTGTCATTTTCTTTCCTATAGCACTATTTTTTAAAAAAGTAATAACATTGTGCTGTACTTATTTCTGTGCACACATGTCTGTTTGATAATAGATTCTTTCCTTCCTATTTTTCTTTTACTTTTTTTGTTGCACTTTTATCTTTTTTATTTCTTTTTTTCTCTTTTCCCTTTAGTTTTTAATCTTCCTTTTAAAAACATTTAATTATGGGTGTGTGTTGTATAAAAAGATAATAGATTATTGGGCAGGAAGCCACAAAAATGTCTGTTAACAAAATTTAAAAAGCAGAAACAAATATTCCATTACTCTTAGAGAACTTACTCTTTATACTATTATAATATTGTTAGAATAAGTTCTTGTTCCATGTTAGGCCTTTGACATTCTTATATCCTAGTATAAAAGCCAAGAATAAAGCAAACCTTTTAAGGCAATCATGGAGTTACTCTCACTGCTGGAACTCTTGACTTTTATTACCTTTTCCCATTAAAATTAGATAAGTCTGCCTGCCTAGTTTAGAAAAGACAGCTTCAATGTTCATTATTTTATGGAGTGAAATACCAGCAATATGTTTAGATGAGCAACAAAGTGTGCCTGCTACAAATTGCAATAAATATTTCTTGCTTTCATGTTTAGGTCTGGAAAGCTTGCTAGAGAACTGAGGCAAGCCAGGTTTCAATGAATTAAAACACATCTTAATCCACGGCTTCTAAGCTATGTATTCAAAACCCTGCGGAAGATAATTTTATCATGCCAAGTTTGCAAACAAAGATTTAATTTTATGCCAATCTAATAATGTGATTTGGACAATTTTCCTTTTTCAGAGATTGATACCGAGTAGCAAATTCAGTTGTCATCTAAGGCATCCATTGGGATTTTGTTCATATGCAACTTTATATTTGTACATATAGACAGAACTGCACCCATTATGTGATTTAGTACAAGCCTATACTGAATGTTATGTTTCTTATGTTTTTACTAATTGCATTTGAACAGCTGAAAAAACATTATTGAGCAAATAACATTTGTAATATTTTTCAGGTCCTAAGGGATTTGATTATGCCAATGATTAAGCCAATGTCAGCTCTTACGGAGAACATAAATAGACCTTCTTCAGATAATTTTTTCTTACCTTAATCCTTCTACCTTGCAATGATACGTGCATTGCCACTGCAATTGAGTCTACGTACCTTGCTGCTTGCTCTTCTTCTCTATCCTTTCATCTTTCCCAGCATTATAAATTTTCAAGATAGATATGTATTTTAAGGATGGATGCAAAATGTGATAATCTGAGCTGGGTGATTTTGCTCCTTGTATTAGTATTTGGGATTGATGTGTTCTATGGCCTGCTTGTTTTCTTAACTATCTGGGTATTCTGAGGAATCTTCTCCCACATCATTTTTCATGATTTCCAAGGAACAAAGGCAGATTGGAGATGGCTGTACAAAAAATGGAGCCGACAATCACAGTGAAGAATGAAGAGCCAACAAGCGAACTAATAAATCATTTCAAACCACTCTGAACAAGGAGACAACTTGAGATTACTAACAAATACTCCAGACAACTGCTTCTCACAGGAATACCATAAGATAGTAGTCTCCAGTGTATTCAAAGCTCTGGGAGATGAAGGAATAGCCATCTCCCTCAAACCACAGTCAGTGCCTTTGAAAAGACAGTAAATTCGCATACTTTTTTTTCTAATCATTTTTGGGAGTTGCTGTTAACTGTTTTTCAGCTCTTAAAAAAATCTTTGTATTGCCAAATTTGACAGCACTGGCTAATTTTCCTTTCAGTCCCTAGTGAATAGAAGTATTAACTTCAAAATTAACAATTTTTTTTCTTGGAATAAACAATAAAAGGGTGATTAAAACTGATTTTAGAAAGTTATAGACTAAGGGTCCAGATAAATTTGAAATTATAATTTAGAAGTATATTATTTAGAATTATAAAGAATACTTCCCATGGGAAAATTCTTTTGTTTTGATTAAAGAAAATAAGGTAAAAATTAGACAGTGAACTAAAGATGATAATTAAAGGACAAGAATACATAAATTCAACTTATAATTACAGAACGAAACAAAATATTCTACCATTGGGCATATTGAGGCATATTTTTAAAAAATGAACTCAGAAGTTAATAATAATATCTACAGAGCATCTGCCTTTATCATGACCCTTTGTTTAAAAAATGTTATGGAAGAGGAACAACTCTTACCTAACATGATATACGGGAAGGAGTGTCAGTAGCTGGGGATGAAGCTAAAAGAAGGATCAGCTTTGAATGTCTGCATACCTACAAGCAAGCTAAGTCCAACACCCTCTTGAATTCTCTTGACCCTCTTCTAACTCCTAGCAGATGCTGTTAGTTGAGAATATTCCTAAATGTGAGTAGCAATAAATCATTTCAAACTAATTAAATCTTCACATGCAGGCCTGATTTTTCATACCTGACATACAATCAAAACTGAGTTGAAAATGGGTTTATAAATGGGTTTACAAATGACAGGATGACATGGAAAAGGATGTTACACTTGACATACAAAAGCTGATGTTTTAATAATTAAATGTATATAAAAATAATAAACAAGAGAGTGATGAGGATAATATTCCCATATAGGATTCCCCAAAAAGGCTTTTAAGTTTTAAAGAATCTCATGAAAAGGGACAAAGAAGACATAAAAAAAATAAAGTTGTACGACATTATTTGAACAGACTAAAAAGATTAAAACTGTTTTACGAGAAAATGAATATAATTTTGATTTATTTGAGTGAGCTTAATAAAATTTGTTTTATTTATTTATTTCTATTCCACATTTATTATTTTTTTCTACAAATAACTGAAGGCAGAGAACATATCCAACACACATTCTTCCTCCTATTTCCCCCCCCCACAACAAAAATCTTGTGAAGTGAGTTGGGCTGAGAGAGAAGGACTAGCCCAAGGTCATCCAGCTGGCTTTCATGGCTTAGGTAGGACTAGAACTCATGTCTCCTGCTCTTTAGTCTGATACATTAATCATTAAACTAAACTGATTCTCAGTTACAACAATTAAATTGTTATTTTTGGTAATGGACTTTTGCTGATACCAGGAGTGAAATGACAATGTTTTGCGGATTGTTTATAGATAAGAGATGGGATATGGGAAGAAGAGATCAGTTGTATTTCAAGAGGAGATGATGTTACTGAAATTGTTTATACGTGATGAAAGTTAGTAGTCATTTATTTTTATTTATTATATTCTTACTTTTCTTTATTTTCTATTTTTATTTTTCCCCTTTTCCCTTTTCTTCTTTTTCTTTTATCTTTAGTTTGTATTAGCTTTTACCATTGTAATTATAATCTTTGATAAAATTACTATATAAAAATGAAGTCCTCTCCCATATCAACTTTCAAAAGCATCAATACTCTTTCTATTCTGCTTTTCTAAAGTCCAACTTTTACTTGCATCAAATATCATGATAAAAACTAATACATCTTTGATCTTTGTAGATGTGTCACAGCATCAGAACATCTGTAACAAAGCCCATCAAGTGTTAGATTGTGGTGCATTTCTTGACTGTTATTTCCTTTACTGTTGATAGTCAATTCCAAAAAGCAGAGGCTATCCAGCACTTCAATATCTTGTCAGTTTCAGATTGCTGGTTGCTGTACCTGTCGTGATTATTTATATCTTCTGAATAATTCTATAGTAGTCCCATTTCCCCCCATGTTCCTTGATTTTCATTACTATAGCTTTCAGCCTTTTCAGCTACCAGAGTAATCTCAGCAAAATGCAGGCTGCTAATGTTTCTTTCTCGCTAATTTTAAAACTATGTTTATCTTCCAATCCAACTTTACTCAATATGTATTATGTATATAGATTTAATAAATATAGAACATTACATTCCTGTATCACTCCTTTGTCAGTTTTATATCACATTTCACACAGACTGCAGTTTCCTGACCTGCGTACAGATATCTCATGAAGACACTGTTCAGGGATTTCTATTTTCATAAGCATAGTCCAGTTTAAAATTGTCAACATAATCAAATGAATCTCTATTGAGTATATAAATTAAGCAGATGTTGACTTATTTTTTGTAGTTTTTGGCTTATCTGGCATACATCGGCAATTATGCCTCATGTACTTTAGCCTTTTCTAAATATCTGGCATCTTTATTTAAATGTTTTAATGTACACTGAATGACCTAATTATTATTTTGCTGACATATGCGATTAAGAGGATTGTTGTAAATGCTGTTATTTTTGTTCTTGTTGTCATTCACAAGTAGGCCGACCTTTTTTTAATGTGTTGGCCACTGTGTCCTTAACTATAATTTGGCTAGAAACTTTACTATTACTTCTCCAATTGCTCATTATAAAAGGCTCTTTGATAAATTCCTGTATCCTTCCAACTTTGTAATCAGTAGCGTACTGATCTAATTTTATCTTCCTATACTAGAGGTTTTTGATAATAGGGCATACCTTTCCAAGGTACTTTGGATGTTGACACCTCTACTGTACATAATTTCATTATTTTCCCCATCTCTGATCTTTTCTGTATCAGTTGCTTGCTGTCAAATTGTATCCTTCAGCAAAGCAATCTAAGGCTGAAACCTCTTTTTGAATTCAAAGATCTTTTGGAAGTTTTTTCTTGTTTTTCCATGTTGGTTTTTGTCTTGAATATATTTACAGATGTCAGTGCAATACTATTTCTTGTCTCTTTTAACATTCATCATTAAGTTCCCTCCTGAGATATTTCTCTCTCTAGACTTTGGCAATTTAAAGAAAACCCAGTTTTCTTTCTTACAAGTCATAGTCTTAGACTATATGAATTTCGAATTCATATTTAATAATAGTCCTGATGTATTCTTGTTCCCTATCCCTAAACTGTAGACATTTTTCATTTTTTCTTGGAAATGGTGGGTACATGCTCAATATCATGGTCTGAATGATGGTTGATTTTGTTCTTTCACTTCAGACTTCAATCTTGCACACAAGCAGTTCATAATCTGTTGCAAAGACAATCACTGGTCACATCTTTATTGTTTCAAGTCCTAATTCCAGTCAATTTGATTTTGGTGCATTTCATCTTGTTATGACCATATACAATATATATAGTTAGTATTCATAGAAAATTATTACCAAATGAAAAAAGTTAAAGGATACCAAAATATAATAGGCTCTTATTTATTGGAGAATTTATTTTTTATTTATATTCAGACAAGAATGATTTGATTTTTAAGATTCAGTAGAAATTTGATGGCACATAATCAAATTAAATATACATTCATATGATAAAAAGTAAGTAACATTTAATATCATTAACATGTTTAACATGGTTTTAAACTATACAAAACAGCAAACAGTCTGTAGTATGATGAATTGAGAATGCAGGAATAGTTTGATGGGGGAAAAGTAGAGATATATGTAATTCACCTTTTGTTGATTGTAAAAAAAATAACACTCAAGAAAAAGATGTGTTCTGATTCCTTTCTAAAATTCTTTTAAAGAAAATCTATAAATTTCTGGTCTATGTACTGAATAACAAGTGCTTGTTAAAATTATGTTAAAATGCATAATCTATTTTGCATACTCAAGAGGAAAATATAATTGTTTCTATGGATTTCTGGTAACATATTTTGGCTGTTAAAGTGGTTTATCCATCTGTTTATATTTTCACACAGAAAATATATTTTGTTCTGTGCAACAAATAGAAATGCCAGTTCAGAAGTGGAAAAAGCGCTCTGGTTTTTGTCTTATATGTTGTGACATTTAAGTTTGTTTGTCTGATGGGTTCCTTTCTCTTGTTTTTTCATTTCCCCTATGCCTTAATTATAACTATACTATGAAGTTTACTATGATCTTATGGGGTTACGAGTTCTGGAACTCTTAGGAGACAAATGTCCCACATAGCTTGACATAAAGTTGTATATGTAGTGGCAAATTTTAGATAAGCACATTTGCATATGAGCTGCAAATAGCTAGCATTAATAATTACTGCTACAAATACTACTGAGGAAAGTAACTGAAGTTAAGTAGGAAAAGAATGTCCACAACTATCTCATGGCTATGATGACATTTATATCAAGTATGTTCATTTCTCCAATCAAGTTCTCTACTCACTTTCATTTTTAGATATTAACTGATGTATGGCAGAGGACCAGCTTGATGACTGCTTGTTACAACTAACTTCTGATGTGAGGGTCCATAGCCAAATTGTCCTCTAATGTGTGTCTTCCTAGGAAATGCTTTATAAATATAGACTCAACCAATTTATTTTAAAAATTACTCTACATATTATACAATATATATAAGAAACACAGATTATAAAAGATAATAGCCATTGGTTGTAAAACTGAATGAGTGAATAGAGTGCATGGATAGATACACTAGTGCAGTGGTTCTCAACCTGTGGGTCGGGACCCCATTTGGGGTCGAACGACCATTTCACGGGGGTCGCCAAACAACGCAGTCCGCCATTTTTTTCCCCTTTTCCTTAGCTATGCTACTCCTTTTTATTCTACTGGCTTTTGAAAGCCAATAGAATACACTCTCTTGAATAGAGTCTAATTCTATTGGCTTTCAAAAGCCAATAGGAATTGTCCAGGCTGTCTCTGCCCTGCTGAGCCCGCCAAAAGTCTCATTCTGCAAACGGTGCTGCACCAGTTGAGTAGTCCTTGACTTACGACCGGTTGGGGGTCGCGGCATTAAAAAGGTTGAGAACCTAAACAAACAAGTAGAAAAAAAGAATTTGGGAAATTAAAAGATAAAGGGGAAAACTCCTGGTAATTACATAGACAGTTTTCTTGGCTACTTTACAGAAAAGATTTGTGGTTATCTTCTGCTGGAATCTCTTTTTTCCCCAACTTCCAGGCTAATATACATCTCTGGGCCTTTCTCATTGTTTTCCTCCCAAACACTTCAACAATATTCTTGTTAAAGTATTTTCAGATACCTGATGATTATTTATATTTCCAAAGGCTACCAAATAAAGAGTAAAAATAGCATCATAGACATCATAGGTCCAAATTTCTATAAGATGTGAACGCTCCTATGCTAATTAAATGTTGGTCTTAGAAATTGAAATTGAAACAAGATAAAAGGAAATGAAGAAACATAGAGCATCCCAAGTAAAAAAAAGAGTATAAACATCTTCATTTGATCATGGATGGGTCATGGATATCTAAAATAACATTATGCCCAAGGCAACCACTAATCTTCCACTTTGGATTAATGAACTTGATTGATAATAAAATAAGTGGCCATCTCTGTATACCTGTCTTGTACAGAAATATAGTCAAATGCTATTCTTATACAATTAATTTATGTAGAAATGGAAACCACTACAATTTGGAATAAAAGTCAGTTAGAAGGTGACAAAATGGCTGTACTTAGTTCAAGAACTTTTACACAATTTGTATGTAAATGACTGCAATCAGGTGTAACTAGGCTTTGGGTGCAATAAGTACAAAAATTGAAATGAGACATAAGAAGCAAATGGATCTATCTAGACAAGAGAACAAGGGGGTCATGAAAGAAGAGATTCTACCGTTTTTCCCCGAAATTAAGATCCGGTCTTATATTATTTTTTTCTTCAAAAGAGGCACTAGGTCTTAATTTCAGAGAATGTCTTACCTTAGGACCACCACAGCCAGGCCTCCCACACCCCGACACCTGCTTAACGTTTTCTGCAGTCGCTTGCCGCCACTTGTGGCCGGACGCCATGTTGCTCCTCCCAGCAGGATGCCGCATGGTGCTTTATGCCATTTCTACTGCCCGCAGCAGGATACTACGTGGCTCTTTGGGCTGTTTCTGTTGCACCATATGGCCTCCTGCCACAAGCAACAGAAGTGGCCTGAAGCATGCAAACAACAGAAGCGGCCTGAAGCGCTGCACAAGCAGCAGAAGTGGCCCAAAGCATGCAAGCAGCAGAAGTGCCCCAAAGCGCCATGCAGTATCCTGCTGGGAGGAGTGGCAACGGCGCAATGCATCACATGGCGGCCAGCCACAAGTGGCAGCAATTGGCTGCAGAAGTCAAGTAGCGGTGCAACAGGTGTCGGGGTGGTTCTACCGGTAAGATAAGCAGGTGTGGGGTGCATGAGGCAGCTTCACCCCCTCTACCCCTGCCCTAGCTTGGTTTTAGGGGTGCGCCTCACCTCAAAACTAGGGCTTAGTTTTGGAGTAGGGCTTATATTAGGCCCACCCCCAAAAATCAAACTAGGGCTTACTATTGGGCTGAGTCTAACTTTCGGGGAAACACAGTAATCCTAAAAATGGATTTAGTGCAAACATGATGCTAGATAAATATCATATGAACTTGTCATGGAATAATTTTGGAAACCAAACAAATCTGCCTTGGACCACTCAGAAAACAAAGCAAAGCAAATGATATCAGGATTCAGATCATTTATAGTATATGATTCAAAAAAGGAGAACACTTTAGTACTGAGAGTGGAGCTGGACAGCATGATAAATAGGACAATCTGATAGCAAAAAATTTAGAGTCTTTATCAAGTGGTGTAAATAATGAAAATCAGAATTTCAAAGTTATTCTACAAGGCACATATAGGTATTGCAGACAAAAACAAAGAAAAGGCATGGTATGGGTATGTGGAAGACAAATACTTAAGCATTTTGTGAATTGTGACATCATACATTTATTAGGTATCCTCATGGTTATATGGTGATAACCTGGCAATTAAAAAACATTTGCGTATGTTTGCAACATGTAAATACACAATTATATGAAAATGCAGAAAACTGATATGGAGGCGGTAGAATAAAATCAAAGTGGAAGTGATGAGGTGAAAACAAGGCCCCCCTACTTATTAGGACATAGGAAGGGCTGCTAACAGTGGAGACAAAGGGGACCACTAGTTTGGTGGTCATTTGCAAATCTGCCTGCATAAGTATGGGAAAATAATGTTGTGGGAACCAGTAGATTCTGCATTTGAACGTACACTTAATCTAAACTCAAGAATAGGACATTATCATGTCAAAGATACTCCTTTGCTGTTGCTGCATTATACTATCTCAATTACATTCCTAAGCCTTAGAAAATAGATTTATTTATTTATTTAATGAGCCGAGGTGGCGCAGCAGTTAAGAGTGCAGTACTGCAGGCCACTTTAGCTGACTGTGTTCAGCAGATAAGCGGTTCAAATCTCACCGGCTCAAGGTTGACTCAGCCTTCCATCCTTCCGAGGTAGGTAAAATGAGGACCCAGATTGTTGGGGGCAATGTAAATATATATATATATATATATATATACATTGCTTACTGGTGTACACCGCTTAGAGAGTGCTTGCACTTAAAGCGGTATATAAGTCTCATAAATAAATAAATAAATAATCTGAATTGTAATCCATTCCAAAATAAATAAAGAATCCAAGTTTCTTGAAATATTAACAAGAAAAATGAAATCAATTGTTTTCAATTCTGCAAGTAATGAAGGTGGGACTATGTTGTGCATTAGAATCTGTAAGTTCCTTTTGATACATGCTGGAGGGTTAATAGGATATCTAAGTTTGGAACTGTTGCTGTTAGGAACAGAGTGCAGAAAGACAAATCAGTTTAAAATGATTATATTTCACAGCACACTTAAAGAGTCAAGAGGTACTTGACTTATAATCTGCTCATGTTTTCTAAAACAGATTCATCCAAGTTTTATTCAAGTTAGAGAGTAACAAGCTACAGTCATATTAGTAGCTTGTGCAGGACAGATTTCCTATAGATTTTTCCCAGTGAAATGTACAGGGACATTGTTACATTTCTTTAATATATTTTAATTTCTTTGAAATTTATATTACTGGAAGCCAATATCCAACAGTTGTTTTAAGTTAATTTGTACCAATAAACCAATGCATGTTCATGCAGATATTGCATTGACTTGTAGTCTTTATTTAGTTGTCTAGGAATAAATCTTTCCAATGAAATAGGAATTGCTTGAGTAGATTAGCATAATAATGGTAACTGAAGGAACTGTGCATCAAAAGCTAAGTACATCAGAAATCAGTTTATTTTAGTAAAGAATGATATCAGGTTAATACAAACCAGATTCTCGTGTGTGTGTGTGTGTGTGTGTGTGTGTGTGTGTGTGTGTGTATCAATGATTTACGATTATAGCACTGCTGGAAAAGGGAAAGTGAGATGAAAACTCAATTATCTTGGAAAAATACAGGGAAGAAAAGTTGTAACTATCCCATGCTAAGACAACTCCCAGAATTCCAAACTAGCATCAGATATATTTGGTCTGTAATTCCTTAAATACTCTGCTAGAAAATGTTATGGTTTTTGCAGAATTTCTTACAAATTCCCTATAAGTATAATGCAAACTACTTGCCTATGCCTTGTAAGATTTAATTAAGCAAACCAGAAATATTTTAAAAGTAGGATTTATTATTTTATTATTATTTTCAAATGGTAAAATGCTGAAATTAGACATTCCTCTAAAAGTAA